CTAATCTTTTGCCCTTGCACGTCTATCCCTACAGTTGTACTGTCTTTAATGATGTTGATGGCGTCTTCGATGTATAGATTAAAAAGTAGCGGTGACAGTGTGCATCCCTGCCTGACTCCCTTCCTAATATTTACTTCTCTACGTTGCATCCCCAGCTCTATAACTGCCTGTTGCATCGAAGATGGACTTGCTTCCTAATATTTCGCTTGAACGAGTGGCGAGTTTTCTCGGAGGTCCTTCCATATCCAGCATCGAAGATGGACTTGCTTTCTAATATTTCGCTAGCACAGCTGGCAAGCTTCTTTGGAGATACTTCCATATCTTGCATTAAAGTGGAGTTGCTTCCTAACATTTCGCTAGCACAGCTGGCAAGCTTCTTCGGAGACCCTTCCATATCCTGCATCGAAGATGGATTTGCTTCCTGATATTTCGCTTGAACGAGTGGCAACATTCTTCGGAGATCCTTCCATATCCTGCATCGAAGATTGAGTTGCTTCCTAACGTTTCGCTACCAAAAGTTGCAAGCTTGTTCGGAGATTCCTCCATATCTAGCATCAAAGTGGAGTTGCTTCCTAACATTTCGCTAGCACAGCTGGCAAGCTTCTTCGGAGACCCTTCCATATCCTGCATCGAAGATGGATTTGCTTCCTGATATTTCGCTTGAACGAGTGGCGAGTTTTCTCGGAGGTCCTTCCATATCCAGCATCGAAGATGGACTTGCTTTCTAATATTTCGCTAGCACAAGTGGCAAGCTTCTTCGGAGACCCTTTCATATCCTGCATCGAAGATGGACTTGCTTCCTAACGTTTCGCTACTAGAAGTTGCAAGCTTCTTCGGAGATTCTTCCGTATCTAGCATCAAAGTGGAGTTGCTTCCTAATATTTTGCTAGCACGAGTGGCGATCTTCTTCGGAGGTCCTTCCATGTTCAGCATCAAAGATGGACTTGCTTTCTAAATTTCGCTAACACAAGTGGCGAGCTTCTTCGGAGATTCTTCCATATCCGGCATCGAAGATGGACTTGCTTCCTAATATTTCGCTTGAACGAGTGGCGAGTTTCCTCGGAAGTCCTTCCATATCCAGCATCGAAGATGGACTTGTTTCCTAATATTTCGCTAGCACAAGTGGCAAGCTTCTTCGGAGACCCTTCCATATCCTGCATCGAAGATGGACTTGCTTCCTAACGTATCGCTACTAGAAGTTCTCCGTATCTTTACCTGCTGTCTTAGCAGCGCGTTTTAGAAAATACCACAAATGGCGTGGTGAGCGCCGTCTGTAGTACGATGCTACATTTTAGGATTAGGTATGCTCCAACAAGGTCCATTTAAAAATATGGATATCTACTTGCTGAAACGAATCCCGGCGTGGCTAACCTCAACGTGATAGGCACGTTACCATAATCGAATA